GGAACTTGCCTATTCCAAGTTCACCCGAAAGAGATCAGGACCTACAGAATGATGAGAGAAATGCTGCTCAACCGGAAGGAATTAGCAGGCCTTCACTTGTGCGACCATCTCCTCCTGTACCTCCTCCACAACCACTTTGGCATCAGGATGTGCACCAGTCTGGTTTCGTCACACTGTGCATCGTTCTGAACTTGTAAGCTTACCATCCCTTCCTAGAATCTATTGTTAGATGTCCTGATAATTTTTCCAGTTGATAGTGGTACCTTAAGGCTATGCTTCCCTTCCTACCATCCTTTCACAACTTAGAATCTTACACTCTTTACATGCTGGTAAGAAAAGCATCTAAATATTCTGTTCATTCCTGTATCTATAGTGGTTTCATCTTATCAAATTGTCCCACGGTCTTTATATGTTCCATAAAAGAATGATTTCAGTATATTTATGCTGCTTTATCCGGAACNTTTGGCATCAGGATGTGCACCAGTCTGCTTGGCCACGTCACACTGTGCATCGTTCTGAACTTGTAAGCTTACCAGCCCTTCCTAGAAGCTATTGTTAGATGTCCTGATAATTTTTCCAGTTGATAGTGATACCTTAAGGCTATGCTTCCCTTCCTACATCCTTTCACAACTTAGAATCTTACATTCTTTATATGCTGGTAAGAAAAGCATCTAATTTAGTATGTCTCCAATATGAACAGAATAATATTCTGTTCATTACAGTATCTATAGTAGTTACATCCTATCAAATTGTCCCACGGTCTTTATATGTTCCATAAAAGAATGATTTCAGTATATTTATGCTGCTTTATCCGGAATTGAGCGCATTCTGTTCTGGAGCAGGAGTGGGAGGCGATGAATGATCTTAGAGCGGACATGGGAAGACTACAGCAAGGTATGAATCACATGCAAAAGATGTTGGAGGCCTGCATGGATATGCAACTGGAGTTGCAACGTTCTGTCAGACAGGAAGTTTCAGCTGCTTTGAATAGATCAGCTGGCGGACAAGGTCTGTCTCTCATCTACGGCATACAATAAAACATTGAAGCTCTTATGATTGTCGTACCTCCTCTAATCCATTTATCTGTTTCTCTTCAACATCAGTTAATTTCTTCTGATTGGGTTTTTCCCTGCAAATTTATCACAGGAGTTGCTGAGACTTCAGCTGATGGATCTAAATGGGGCCACGTGAAAAAGGGTACTTGCTGTATTTGTTGTGATAATCACATTGATGCCTTGTTGTACAGGTAAAAGTTTTGTTATGCAGTTTCATGTACCTTGCAGCAACTATTTTAAAAAGTGCAAGGAATGAGTCTTATTGAGCGATATAACAATGATGTGTTCAAGATCTTTTGATAGTTAATGCTTTCTTTGTATTTTGGCAGATGTGGGCACATGTGCACTTGCTCCACATGTGCAAATGAATTGGTCCGAGGTGGAGGGAAGTGTCCATTGTGCCGGGCACCCATTGTTGAGGTGATCCGAGCTTACTCGATACTCTAAAAAGAAAGGACAGGAAGCTCAAGAAAAACTGAGAAAAATTGGTAAGTTATAGAGGAGTTGTATGCTCCCTCTTGCCGAGCTTCTTAGATTCCTTGCTTGCCTCTGTTCTTCTGATTATGTGGTTACGCGCTGTATAGTTGGGATAACTACCGGCAGTTCTATTGCATCCATTCATTCGTAAATGGAAGGTTAATTCTTTTCCAATTTATGACTTATTCTGATTTTGTTCTTTTGTTTTTTTTCCTTTTCCTTTTTGGATTAAGCAAGAGGCACCGATTTCTTTTTCCTTTTTATTATTCATAGTTATATTATATTTTTGGCTTAAAACTAGGTGAAGAGAGAGTAAATAATAAAGTATTGGTTTATAGGGCAGTGGTTCTCGCTGGTGCTGCTGTTTACAGGGAAAAAGAAGGAAACGGCATTGGGAGGTTCATGAACTATTCATAAGTTCGAATATCATCTCTAAAACTTTGATTTGCAGTTTGATTTGAAATAACGGTGATCTTTTACGATTAATTTTGACCAATTGTAATCAGATAACTAAGTGTCGAAATGATAAAAATTGATCAATCTACGTAGGAATAAATTAAATTTTCAACCGTCAAATCGACATTAGCCTAGTCATACATAAATTGATCATTGGTCATTATGACGACTACACTTTTTGGTTGAATACCTACCATAGACGTTGAGTAAAGTTTTGCATTGTTTCGTTTTGGAAGTCCAAGTAATAACATCAGGAATGAGAAGTGCACAAATTCGTGTTTGAGGAAATATATTTAAAACTGAATAATGTCATGGTTGATTGGTTGTTTTATAGTTCTCTGTCATGATGTCAACATCACGAGTATAATTTTTTGGTTCAATACCTATCATTAATTATGAGTAAGTTTCATAAAGTTTCGGTTTAGAAGCCAAAGTAATAAGTAATAACGTTAAGAAAGACAAATTCGCGTTTAAGGAAATGTTCTTGAAACTGAGCAATGTTAATGATTATTGTTCAGTGCCACCTTGACTTCAACGGAAAGGAGAGACAGAAAGATTTATTTTGGTCTAAAATAAAGGATTTTAGAAAGACTCTCTTAATCACTACCAAGTGGTGCGTAATGACGTTTGATTGGACTAAGTTGACGGTAAAACTTTGCCCCACAAAATGTTTACACCAAATCATATCAAGTATGGTTGAGTGATTCACTGATGTGGAAATACATGGAATTAACCATGATTAAGTGAGAAAAGTGTATGTGACAATACATGTGTTATGAATCTACTAATTTTAATATAAATAACCAGTGCGAATAAGTTATTACCCTAAGTTGACAAACTACTCTTTGATGCAGAGGTTGATAATCTTTTCAATTCCATTCCAATTAAGTTTTTCTTCTACTTTTAATTGTCATGTTTCGTGCTTTTTGTTACTTGTTGGAGGCACTCGAAAAAAACTGTGACGTTCGATTCAAGTTTTGCCAAAAATGCCACCTAAATTCTATTTATATATAGTTTGGCCACTCCCGTGGAGCCGTAGATCAGAAAAACAAGGGTTTTTTTCACTCCTATACATATTTGAAACTTTATTACCCTTAATGTTCATGTTTAGCTAATTACCCGGCATAAACAGGTTTTGTTTACAAAATATATACAATTCACCTTAAAAAGCTCCTAAATCCATTATTTGTGCGTTCAATCAAGGAATTTAGTTACATTCTTTTCCTTTTTTTCTCCTCTTCTCTTTTCTTATTTTTCTTCCGCCAGGAATCTTGAAACTATTGCTTTCACCAAAATGTACAACGTAAATATAGAGCCTTGCATATAACATCATTAGGCAAATAGAAAATTAGAAAAGGTGGAGATTTCTATCATCTAAATTGTCAGGTAATAATACTTGCACTGATTTTCCATGTCCAGAAAATCAATAAATTATTTGATCAATTTATTGTATATTTAGATGTGGACGATGTAGAGATACTTCAGTCGAGTCATGTCTTCCAAATAGAATTTTATCAATAACGGTCTATTTAATTATTTACAACAAATCAATAAAAACTTTATCGCTCCTAACTAATAAATGATTCATGACGTGTCTTGCAAATAAACTTTTATTGTTTAACGGTTATGTGATATGTAATTGCGATTTAAATTATAATTCCTGAAGTTAAATTGCTTAGTTCACTACGAACGCCAAACGTAGTACTTTCTGCAGGTAGAATTGTGTCGAGGTAAAGTACTCTTAATAACAACATCTTCTGCTTCCTCTTTATCTTGGTTTTCTGTACAAAGCCATCTATTGATCGGCAAAAGAAACACTATAGCCATCTATTAATAGTAGCATTATATCTAGAGAATTTCCCACTCAGATTCAGAATGATCATTAGCTGAGACATCAGCACACATCCTTTTTAAATGCACAAACTTCAAACTTTTTTGGCAAACAATCCTCTCACAAAGCACAAACAACAACACTACTCCTATACCATCATTCACAACCAAGGATTGGCCAAATACACGGGTATCCCTTAAGAAAGAACACTACAACAACATCATCACCTGGGAAGAGCTCCTGCCATTCTGCTTCTGGAAAATCTGGCTTACAAAAAACAACAATCTATTCAATAACAGAAAGGAAAGGGTGGACACCAAAAGTTCTATAGATAAGGCAACTGAGTTTGTAACCAATATATTGAATAAAGCACCCAAAATTAAAAAACAATATCTGGGTCAAATAGGAGCCACCAAAAACCAACACTTACAAGCTCAACACTGATGGAGCCGTAACAACAAATCCTGGAAGGGGAGGACTAGGAGGAGTCTTCAGAAATGCAAGTGAAAATTGGGTACTGGGCTAGATGGGATCAATCCAGCACACCACTAATACTCAGGCAGAATTGCTAGCCATTCTGAAAGGGCTGCAAATTGCAGAAGAAAGACAGTTAACACCGTTGGAAATAAACACTGATTCAACTGAGGTAATTAAAATGCTAATCAATGGGAACCCCATTCTTGACTCACTTATTCATGAATGCAGGTCAATCGTCTAAAGACTAGGCGACGTGGTGGTGAAGCACAGCTACAAGGAGACTAACAGAGAGTTGCTGACCTATTGGCAAAGGAGGGCACTAACAAGAACTTTTTTGAAAATATTTTTGTAACAGCAGTTCCTCCGGTGTTTGTCACGCATGTCTTTTGGGCAGACATTGCAGGAACTGCTTTCCAAAGACAAATTATGGACTGTAATATTTTTAACGATGGTTAGGTAGTGGTGGATTTGATATATCCACCCACAAACAATCCGTTTGTAACCCCTAACGAGTAGTTTAGTTTGCTTATATAAAATGCATCCAGTTTAACCAAAATAAAGAAGAATGATCATTAGCCGACAAGTTCTTTGTGTTCGCGTTCGTGGCATGAACCTGCATCTTTTATACATTTTTTCTACACAGTTAAATACAACTACAATATCATACAACTTAAATACAATTGTTATACAAGTTTTATACAATATGTCTTTTGTATATTTTGTATATGATTTATACATAGTAAAAATAAATTTCATATAACTAATTATATATTATACAACTTATCTACAATTTTCATACATTATTTCTACCCAGTTAAATACAACTACAATAACATACAACTTAAATACAAATTTTATACAAAATTTATACAATATGTCTTTTGTATATTTTGTATCTGATTTATACATAGTAAAAACAAATTTTATACAACTAATTATATAATATACAACTTATCTACACTTTTCATACATTATTTCTACCCAGTTATATACAACTATAATATCATACAACTTAAATATAATTTTTATACAATATTGTTTAACTTTCATACAATAGTTAGATAAAAAAATATATATAAACAACAGAATACAATTTTTCTATAATTTTTCTACAATTTCACTGCAATTTTGTAAATATAATGTATATCATGTCTTCTTCTTCTTCTTCTTCTTCTTCTTCTTCTTCTTCTTCTTCTTCTTCTTCTTCTTCTTCTTCTTCTTCTTCTTCTTCTTCTTCTTCTTCTTCTTCTTCTTCTTCTTCTTCTTCTTCTTCTTCGAGTTTCAATCTGAAATTCAGCCAAAATCAAGTCTAATCTTTACCAAAACATCCTCAAAATTGAGATATAAACTCCAAACCATATACCCAATTGTTTGCAACAACACCCAATCCAAACAAATAATGGTTTTTGAAAACCCAAATTTGAATTCAAAACTTCAAAGCTTTTTAATGGCTCTCAATGGTGAAATTGTTGCTCTCTTTTCCTTTGCTTTACATTACTGATTAGAGATCGAGAGATAGAGAGAGACGTAGAGAGAATCCCAATTCTTTGCAACAATACCCAATTCAAACAAATAATAAAGGAATATCTGCTCCTTTGTCTTTTGTAGGGCTGTTCTTTGAAGATATCTTCTTCTTCATTGAAAATCAAGCTAATCAGAGACGTTAATGGAGGTAGGAATTTTGAATAAGAGTAAAAATTTCGTCTAGTTTTTGAAGAAGAGATGAAATGGGCGTTAATGGAGGATTTATGAGATTTGTGAAGAGAAAATCATGGGTGAGGGGGTGGGATGTGGAGAGAGAAACGTGGGGGAGTGAAAATATATGGTAGAGTTATTTTAGGACACTAATTAATATCATTAATTCTCTTAAAATATACATAAATGGTAATTGGGTATATAAAATGTAATTATAGTAAAACTTGAGTAAGGAGGGTAATATAATTTCATATAGTGTATAAGAATGTAAAAATCTCGAAAAACAAAGAGAAAAAGATTGAAAATTTTACCTCATATAGCAAAGGTTTACACCATATTTATTATAAATAAAAGCCCTTTTAAAATATTATTTTCTATAGCTACCTTTTATTTTTTATAGCAAAATATATATTTATAGTATATACTACCGTTAAGGCATTAAATACGCTGTCTAATATTTTTCTTTCTCATTCTTTCAGTTATTCTCCCCAAAATCACCGCATAGTATATCTAATTTCTCTGTCCACGATCTCTCTCGCACAACAAGTTTGTCTTCCACATTGTTGAACCACGATTCTCCCCATTGTCTTCCCTAAGCTTTATAGTTCTCTCACAGCGCCATTGTCTCTCTCAATTTTTAACTTTTTTTTTCTCTAAAAAGTTGTGGTAAGTGTTAAAGTTTTTGGGTTATTGGCCGGTTAAAGCTTCTTCTTTTTCTTTTCAACATTTTTTTTTTGTAAATATTCACCATTGTTAGGTTTTCTGCAAAATACCCACTAAAGCACTCAATTTCGAA